CGTGGGGGGCAGGACCCAGATGACAACTCCCATGATGCCCCACAAGGGCGCAAAGGGTGATGGGTGTTGGAGACCAAGGTATGGGAGGCCACCTCGGGGAGACCCTACGGGGCTTTGGGGGAGCTGTGGGTCAACGAGGTGGGTCTTCATCCAAGCGTGGGGCAGGAGGTGGGGGGAGAAGAGCTGGGTGGGTGGAGAAGACCAGGATGGAGACACGGAGAAGATCTGAGTGGGTGGATGGAAGGATGGAGAAGACCTGGATGGAGAGATGGAGAAGACCTGAACGGAGAGATGGAGAAGATCTGAGTGGGTGGATGGAGGGATGGAGAAGACCTGGATGGGTGTAGAAGACCAGGATGGAGGGATGGAGAAGACTTGGGTGGGTGGAGAAGACCTGAACGGAGAGATGGAGAAGATCTGGGTGGGTGGGGAAGACCAGGATGGAGGGATGGAGAAGATCTGAGTGGGTGGATGGAAGGATGGAGAAGACCTGGGTGGGTGGATGGAGAAGACCTGGGTGGGTGGATGGATGGGTGGAAAAGACCTGGGTGGATAGAGAAGACCAGGATGGAGGGATGGAGAAGATCTGGGTGGGTGGGGAAGACCAGGATGGAGGGATGGAGAAGATCTGAGTGGGTGGATGGAAGGATGGAGAAGACCTGGATGGAGGGATGGAGAAGATCTGGGTGGGTGGGGAAGACCAGGATGGAGGGATGGAGAAGATCTGAGTGGGTGGATGGAAGGATGGAGAAGACCTGGATGGAGGGATGGAGAAGATCTGGGTGGGTGGGTGGAGAAGACCTGGGTGGGGGGATGGATGGACAGAAGAACAGATGAAGAAGACCTGGGTGGGTGGAGAAGACCTCGGTGGTGAAGACCCCAAAATTTGGGGGGCAGGAGAGGACAATCCTGGTGGACCCCCAAGTTCTACAGAGGGATGGATAGATGGATGGATGGAGAAGACCTTGGTGGACAGGCGGAGGGATGGAGAAGACCTGGACGGGTGGATGGATAGGAGGGTGGATGGAGAAGACCAAGATGGATGGGTGGATGGAGAAGACCAGGGTGGAGAAATGGCTGGAGAAGATCTGGGTGGGGGCAAGAAGACCTGGCTTGATGGAGGGATAGAGACCC